TGTGTGTGTGTGTGTGTGTGTGTGTGTGTGTGTGTGTGTGTGTGTGTGTGTGTGTGTGTGTGTGTGTGTGTGTGTGTGTGTGTGTGTGTGTGTGTGTGTGTGTGTGTGTGTGTGTGGGGGGGGGGGGGGCAGACGATCAATTAAAGTGAGGGCGCCAAGAAGACGCGGGGAAGGGAAATAATCGGCAGCGCCGCTCAGCTGTGGAAAGCAGGTCCTCGATTTTTCTTGGCTCCGCGGGAAACTTTCTATCAGCCTCCAGACTGCGGTCCAGCTGATTCCCAGGACGGATGCGGTGCCCGTGTGAGAGGAGAGAGGCTCGGCAATAAATTCGCCCCGTGGGGGGGCGGGGGGGGGGGCTGGGCACACCTAGGCCTTAACACAAACACGGCAAGCCGGAGCCACCGGCATCACTCCCAAAACGGAGGTGCGTGGAAAATGAATCACTGGCAAGCGGTGGGAGCAGAGCAGACGGCGGCGATAAACCGCCGGCGCGGGACATTTCATTCCGAACGTGGAAAAGCGAGACTGGATCTCTGGGAGGAGCCATAAATACTGCAAAGCGCAGAGATCCAGGGTTCCATGTCAGAGCGAGGTCGGCGGCGGAGGCAGCACGTTTGCCAAACGTTTGTCTAACATCCACGCTCCTCCCGCTTAGCTGACCTGTATCTCGGCAGCGGTGGCGTCGCCGGTCGATACCACCCGGGGGTTCTAACCGGATATTACTCTGGTTCCACACCCTGTGCAAAGTTACTACGGCCTGGCCAGAGAAGCGGCTCCTTATTTGATGTCCTTAATTAGCTGCTCATCACCAGTGTTGGGCACTTCAGGTTCAGAAGCTATAAATCCAGACCAGGATTTTGTTTTTACCAACCAGTTCAGCATAAGGAGTCACGGTCACAGAGTACTCAGCTACTGGGTAGAAACAAAATCATGGTCTGGCTTTATAGCTTCTGGACCTGAAATGCCCAACACTGCTCATCACCCACAGTGTGTCAGAGACTTAAACTAAAATAATCTTATAAGAGATGGAGGGAAACATGCAAGCACGGGAGGGTGGGGTTGGGGGACAGACAGACAGGCATGGAGGCCACCAACTATTTACCCCCCCACCCTAATTGATTCACTTTCTAATCTATCACCTGAGACTCCACCCCCCACATCTGATGTCACCTTCATCCAGGTCCCCAGGATGGGAAATCCCAAGCAAATGACACTGCAGACTGATCTCAAAGGTTTCCTGTCACCCTGAATAAACGGCTCAGCCATCAGCAGAAGCGTTAAAAAAACACTGAAATATACCGCGGCACATGGACGTAAATCACGGGCCTTTCCGACTCGCTCGCCACGCCGCGGCTTCCCGCCCAATCTGCCGCTTGGCTTTTCCCCATCAGCCATCAGGAATTCTAGCGCCCAGTCCGGCACCGGCGGCACTGCCTCTGTTAAAGCTGGAAGTCCGACACTGTAGTAGGCAGCCGCTTAACCGCTTAGCAGTGATGCCGTACCACGGCCGGGTCGTTTGGAGCGGCATGTGGTCTGGGGGAACCCAACACGTACACGCAGAGCAGGATTTTTACTGCACCTCTGCCATAAATATGGGCCGATCGAGCTTGGACCATTTTAACAGTTGCGTTCGCTGTTTATATAAGTATTTACATATTTACACAAACTTCAATGTCCCCAAGCTTCAGGTGTGGAAAAACAGCCAGTCGGTAAATAGTACTGACTCTTCGACTTTCCAACAAGCCCCTCGACAGTCACACATGTGTGCAGAGTTTTCTAGAACAACCTTTAAGAAGTTCCTTCTGCAGTGGCGAAGCACTTCAGGTGTCTGCTTTCCGCCGCCAGGAAGCCCGATCATCTCACTCCTCAGACTTTTTAAATGCTAATGACCTATTTCAGGGATCTTGCCACAGGGCCTGAGTTCCGGGGAAGTATACAGGCCTACAGGGGGCATTGTTCTGGGGGGGGGGGGGGGGGGGGGGGGGGGGG